CAGTGGCGACCCAATCCTGGGTTGGTTTGGCAATTTTCTACAAGAACGACGGCTAATGGTGAAAGTGTGAGAATTATTGTCTGATGCAATCGATGTGGCGTGTGGAGTACCACAAGGCTGGGTTCTTGGACCTCGTCTATTCTTGGTGTTAATTAACGATTTGGCGAGATCAATTACTTCCGATTTCCTATTTTTCGCTGATGATATCAAGATATGGCGAAGGATCAGAGGACCGGACGACCACGAACGGCTCCAGTGCCATCTTAACACAGTGTCGAACTGGTCAGTTCAAAACGCCCTACCATTCAACGCAGACAAATGTCTCGTTGTACAATTACGCCATAGACATTACTACACCTACATACTTGGGACAAATGGATTACAGAATAGCTCCCAGGAACGTGACCTTGGTGTGATCTCAACTGTTCAAAACAGGCTGAGGTAGCTGCGAAAAGCGGCAACCAGCATGCTGTAAGGGCATCCGGGAGATCTGACCCATCAATCTTCCCAATGATGCACAATTCCTACGTACGCCCGCATGTTGAATACGCTATCCAAGCTAGGCAACCTTGGTTGAAGCGCGAACTAGAGGCGATAGATGCGTCACAACGAAGAGCAACAAAGAATGTAAAGGGACTGCGCTATCACTCTTACCACCGAAGGCTGAAGTTGCTGGGAATTTTCAGCGGACGCCTTAGAAGCACTGGTAAGTGAGCTCAATACTATCAGAAAAATTCCTAACATATCCAGTGTGTTTTTCAGTAGGGTAGTGTCTAGTACTTATACTTTTGGGCGTCCAAATGTACCTACCACATCCCTTTTGGGTACGTCGTGTAGACCTACAAATGCACCAGAAGGCCCATGCACTAGCAACATGAGCATCCGTCAGAGTAGCGTACTACCGCTTGTTACACGAAGTAGTCCATTCGAGTGGCAGTTGGGTTCGCATTTAACAACTCCTCCCTCCATAACACCCATATTTCCCGTCAACGGTGGTCCCTCAGCATGCGCTTCGGGTAACAACAAAGAAATAAAGTTGGCTGATCTCTTAAAATGTCGAAATCCAACGCGAATGACATCACGCTTCCCGATGGCTCTGTCATACATGACACTAGCTCCATTACCGAGGCTCTGAACTGGCCATTATGTTCATGTTTCAGCAAAACCACTTATTCCCCTCCGTCTGACATATCCACCGTAATCTCCAACCATCTCTCCAAAGCAGAATGTTCACTCCGACACAGAAAAAACTGGGGGATGTGAAACAATCGAAATAGCAACGCACTGATGCCCTACCTTCAATCGCACTAAAACTAGGAGAGTCAAATATCCCCTTTCTTCTGTTCAATCGATACTCTCTTTCAATGAAGGCCGGTGAAGTACCCACACAGTGGCAGACAGCCACTGTTGTACAACATCCCAAAGTTTGACCCAGACATGACGTTAGAAACGATCGACCATACTTCCATTATTTGCAGAATGATGGAGAGACGAATTGCCCCAAAAGTGATAGATTTCCTGCAAACAAGTGGCCTGCTTAATAGCGCACAACATGGATTTCTGAAGAAACGCTCATGTGTAACATGTCACCTCGCCTTTCTCAACAAGCTTACTCACTACTTGGACTGCGGGAAATCATCAGTAGTGATCTTCCTAGACATGCAGAAAGCGTTTGCTAGTATACCTTACGATAAGCTAATAAAGTCGCATCTGTTGGAATCAGTGGCCCATTGGTATCGTGGTTCAAATCATACCATTCAAATCGGACCCACTACTCTTTCTATCGCATATTAACGCTTTACTTGACGTAATACGAAACGGTGTCACATATGTATTAGCTGATGACGTGAAAATAAGTTAAATTGTTGATGTTACTGAGACAAACGCCATTAAATCTAATTTAAAAGCCCTTGATTTATAGTACGCTATATGGGATATGCCATTTTCAACGGAGAAGTGCAGTGCCGTACTGTTCCGTTGTACATTCCCACCTTGCACCCTGGTTCTGTGTGGTAAACCAATAACGTGCAACGGTGCAGTAAAAGATTTAGGTTTTCACTATTCTGGCTCACTAAACTTTGTGGAGCACACGGCAAATGCAGTTGCCAAAGCTCGTCGCAGCATCGGACTATTACACAAAACATTCAAAACGCACGATTCCATAGCCACCCTATACAAGACAAAAACCCGACGGATGTTATTGTGCATTGATCTACAGTAACACAAGAAAAGGTGATCGGCATAAATTGGAGAAGTTGCAGAGATCGTTCACTAAACGTCTGCTGGGAGTGTCCTCACAAATCTCTTACGCACAGCGCTGTAAGGCCATAAAACTAGAACCGGTATGGCTCAGACGGATGAAACTTAGTATATGTCCCTTATTCGAGATCATACACAAGCGAGTTCATGCGCAGCCTGAATTTGAAAGTCAAAGATGGGTCAAACTATTCGAGATAGCCACAACTTGCTAAAAATAGAATGGTCTAGGAACTCAGGCAGGTACCAACTTTTGTGTGAACGCTTACGCGAAGATAGGGAACAGGCTGCCGTCCAAGCTGCGAGAATGTAAATCACCTGAAATCTGTCGCAAAGAGATCCGCACCTTGTTAACTGTTGAAAAGCCTACCGAGCTGATGAGACAAAGTGTCACGGAGGAGATGGCATACGAAAACGGCCTAAAAGATATCTAAGATATGGTATCAATCGCCACCATCCTATCCTCCCGTATTCGGCATTTTGACACCCCTTAACTGTTGGTCTCAAGAAAGTATTCTGGCCTGTGGCACAGCAACATAGAAAAGCGCCACACTGAGTCATGCAAAACAAAACATATAGAGATAGCTAATAATTTTAACGAATTATTTTTTGGTCTGCGACCATCTTAACATTTATTTATGTAAGAACGAACTGTTTTCCATGTTTCTTTCTTGTCCGGATATATCAGTACAAAACTACAGTGCTTCATGACATCCGTCAATGTAATTGCCAACACACCTCGGCTGACAGTGATGCATCGATCTGGAACCACTTTTACTGTGATAACTTGAACAGAAACTGTTCTTAACCATCTATTTATAAAATTCGACCAGAGCAACCTTATTCCGCATCAAATACCGCCAAGAAATAAACAGTTTTCTTTTCGATTACCTTTCTATCCTTTAGATTCGTCTTGTAATACTAAATATTCCTTCCTGAGAGTAACAGTCCAGCAATTCCCAGTGCTCCGCGATACCAAATACTGTAGTTTGCGAACACAGGCAACTGTGATAAAGCTGAAGGTTCCTTTCAGAACTGCCTCGCAAATCGATAATCCGAGCAGCTACTTTTTACGGCGATCCCACCGCACAATTTGATCTGGGAAACCGTCGGACTTTCTTGGCGGTATTTAAATACAACAATTTCTTATCTCATCATTACCGTAATTATCTTTCTACCTCCTCATATTCTATATTCTTCACTACTCCATTGTTGGCCGCGACTGGGTCGATCTCAAGAGATGACGGATTGAAGCTTCCAAACTAATAGATGAACCCATGCGAGGCAAGATGCTACAGACTCTCTGACGAGGAATAAAAGTGCTTGACTCAAAAAACCGATTGATGGTACGGACTATATGACCTAAATGTCCATAAACATACATTTAAAAAGAGCCCTAAAGATGGGTACAATTGGTGATGGCAAACCTGTTTTAAAGCCACGCCAGCACACGATCCGAACAGACATGGAAATGCGGGTGAAACCTTTCGAGTGACTAGGCTGCATGCAAGCAGCTCCCCTGGAGACGAATCCACGGTTGGCCGTATTACTTTACTAGAACATTTAGATTTATCTACATTTATTATTATTATTATTATTAGTATTATTATTAACCATTTGAAAGATGCAACCGAGCAATCGGCTCTGCAAAACAGTTTGAGAAATGTTCTGTAAAAAAAGAACTCGAAGAGATATTATCCGTCTCATGCGATCGCGTTGTACATAACGAGCAGACCAATCAGTTGGAATGTGCCTCGCACCGTCGAGGCATATACCATTTATTTATTTGTTTATCAAGGAAGGCCGAACAAACGGCCATGTTAATCCGATGTCGTTGCAAAACTAATGTATTGAGTGGGCAACAGAAACGTTGCGATGATATACGGGAGTTTCAGTCAGCATGTGATACCGAAACGGTCGCAAACATCACCATCGCAGTTTACCGCGAATGACGAAAGCTATTCTACCTATTTGGTGAGAGCAGAAATACAATATGACGTGGGGGAGGGTGAGATATGAATAGTACCACAAGTAAGGCGGAAAACACACTGCCGCTCACAGAATAGATAATTGTGTGTGTCGAACAGGATGTTACTCATGAGTGGAGGAAAAACTAAGATGTTCCGATCCAAAAGAGGGTCGCCTAACACGAAAGACTTCTTTCTGAGTGGGGATTTTTGCAACGTTCGTAACCTTTGTGCAGTGGAAGAACAGTTGTCCTATATCGTGACTAGCATACAAGTCTTGACAATCCTCCACACAAGCTGTTGACTAGTGGCGCGCCTTCGTTCCTGAGTTGACAGGGAGACACACGCTACCGACCAGTCCCTATAGGACGAAACGGCCGTCTAGTGCATTTCCGGCTGAGCGGAGGGCTACTACTAAGAATCCGCAATTATCAGCGGTTTCATCGAATCAGCTCGTAAGCGATCATGAAACTAGCTACATTTTGAGACTGCAGCCGGAACACATTTAAATGTGCCCAAAACGACATAAGAGAAGTTGGGTATTGAAGTGTACCGTCTGTCGGTAAATATACGAATTTATTTATCTATTTATTTATAACATAAAACTATTGCGCCACGGAACAGGCATCTGGAGAGAACGGAAAGCCACTCGGTGGACTTCACGCTGATCGAAATCGGGAAAGTGTCTCGAGCTTTCGCAGTGAATGGTGGTGCGTGCGGCAAATGTTGACCCGGAAGGCAGGCGAGAAAGCGATACAGAAACAAAGAGGAACTCACCAGCGTGGACATTGTCAGGGGATGCGGGCTGCAAATAGGAAGATAGAAGAAGTTTAGATAACGAGTGTTATAGTGACTAAGAATGTAGCAACGTAGTTAATTAAAGAGGCACGACGGTGGATATACGGATCGTATGAAGAAATGGTGGAACTCAATATAGGGATGTATTAAGCGCCAATGAAAAAAAAGTCCATGCATGGAATAGGAAATAAAAAACACTATACACCTCGTTGGGATAACCCTCCGAGAATAAAAACGAATGCTGGATGGTGATCCAAAAACTGGCAGCGCATCGGTTTCGCTTGTGTAACCTGCCAGTTACCAGTTACTGCATCGATCCAAGGTGGGCTTTTATACCTATTAACGTCACTGTTTTCATAATTTGCTAGGGAACAAGACGGGGTCAGCTGTGCTAACCCCCGAGAGTTCAGCAGCCAATGCGTGCAAGCTTGCACGCTACATATCACTGCACTGAGGATGCCAGCTCGCATGGTGGTGAAACGTTTGCGAGAAAACCGTCAAGCTCGGAGAACAAATGAACGATTGATTCATAAACCCGAGCTACCAGTATTTCGAAACAGTTTAAATGACAGGTGTTACCCACAGTCGAAAGGAAATGTGTTTTGGCCGAAGTGACACCAAATCAAAGGCAAGAGCATCGCAGAGCATGTACAAAGAATGACAAGGAGGCCTCACTAATGAACACTGGAGTGAAAAACATGACAACCCTTCTGCAAACGAATAGAGATGGAATGCAGGCAGTAACAATATTCATTGCTAAATTGGCGCAGAGAGATGAAACACGTTCGACCTTCACCCCGCATAAAATAACGAATGATAGGTACTTTGGAAACGGATCTAGGACAAGAGTGATAGCTAGATGTTAATCTGCGTAAAAATAATACGGAAAAAGCACTGATAGTGGTGTGATTGAAACCTCATATGCATCACAGTCAGAGCCATGTGAGATAAAGATACCAGTAAGTAAGTCATTGAATGACGTACACGTGAGTGGCCAACTTTATAAGCATATATCCTACTGACTAATTAGAGATAGAGACGGAAAGTTAGCACTGATGTTTACAGAACTAATTCAAATGTTCTGCAATAAGATGGCAGGCAGACGAAATAATGATAGTGTCGTAAGTTTGGGCTATCCAATGTACACAGAATACGAGCAGCAACCCAAATTCAGTGAGAAGACTGAGACCAATGCTCAGTTGAATAGGATAACAATGATCAAGCGAGTACTACGCACGACCAAAGCAAACGGAAGAAGCGAAATAAGAGTGCCAATCTCGGGGTTAAAGAGCATAAGAGATCAGCTATATTTGAGGAAGATCCTCACCGACAGAACCACTCCGGCAGCTAACATAAATCCAGATAAGCCATGGATAGCCGTCCTATTGGAACTCGTCAGCAGAGTACATAATCAAACCGTAACTGATCGCTGGCTATGATAGTCAGCTAATCGTTAAATGTTACCCAGCTTATTGTCGTGCAAAGAACAGGGTTGGCTCGTAGAGGCACGGGCACTCTCAATGGGCGCCGTAAATGGCGCGGCGTTATGGGATAGGTCGAACGATTGATGAATGTCTAAAAGTAAGGGACCGTGAAGGATGAGCTATGTCATGTTGCAGCGAGCAAGCACTCATGGTAGTCGGCCACCATCATCCGTGATTCAGTGCCCCAGTTCACAAGAGGAATATCATGGGTTTTAATCCAGTAGTGCTCAGAGGATGTACAACATTGGCGAGTCGTAATATGAACGCAGAAAATGCAGTCTTTTCGGATGTGCGATGGTTGCCTGAGTAAATATGAATAGCCTGAAAATTTTCAATAATCCTTTAAAACAAGAACTAACAAGTGCATGAGGTGTAAGCATTCCCAGTTCCAAGAATAGTGTTGGCTACTTAATTCGGCTTTAGCAACTGCCCACCCGATAGAACCTCCAGTTCAAATTAAGCGGCACTGGTGAAATCATCAACGATAATTCGCGATAAGAGTCAAGAGATGAAAGAAAACGTAAGACGATGAAGACGCTCCTCGTTAGTTGTGCGATGCACGGGGGCAATAACAAGAGGTAAATGGATTGTCCACATAGTTGAGCAGATGGATCTCAGTTCATAATGGTAGCACAACGGCGTTTGATCGATACTGCAACAAGTGAATCCAAAAAAGTGTGCAAGAACGACTAACGGTACGGCCTTGACCTGCAGGTCGGGTGAAGTAAAAGAAGGCAGTTTCCGTTTCGGTAAGCGCTAGACAACGTGAAGGAAATACATTGCTAGGAGACCGTGTTGTTGATGTGCAGACTGTGATCCGTGTCAATCTGAAGGGATTCATCAGTAGTAATAATAGACGGAGTTTTAACTCGGGTATATGATTTGTTTGGTCGCCTCTATCACGCGCGATGAGCCCAATACCCATTGTTAATGAATTGAAAAAGAAGAACTGTAAATGTTTATAAATCTCGACTCTGACGACCTCAGGTATCAAAATAAAAAATAAAGAGACGCAGTGCCATGAACAACTGGTGCAAGTCGCACACTCGAACATATTAAACATTGTAACCATAAGTCTTGGCGACAGAGGAATTTATGAACAATAGAGCTCGTAGTGAGTTTGTAAGCGAATGGCTGGAGTAAACTTGACCAATGCACCCCTGGGTTGAGTAAGAAAAAAGAATGATGTGCCTATTGGACACTTCGCTGCCCCGCGACCACCACTAATTGCGCGCGGGCTAAGGATATTGTGAGGTCGCCAGTGCCTATGCATACTCGCAACGGTGACCTTTGGGTCAAAAGGTTGCCCTCTAGGCCCCGAACAAAATGTTTAAGTTGAAGCGATGTTCTGTCTCCGAAAACAGAGTTAACTTCAAGTAAGCTTCGCAGAATAACTTAAAAGTACACTAAAAGCAGAGCAGTGCATGTTAAGGAACGGCACAGTCCTCAAATTAAAACAGATCTCCAAGGTAGGAAAACATGGATCGGTCCAAAGAAGTGCACCTATGGCAACGACTCTGGAAGCGCGATATCCTGGGTAAGTAGCACAACAATGTAGAAGTGCCTGATGGTGGTTGATAAATCAGGATGAAAGGAAGTAGACACCAGCGGGACGAAAAAGTTGGGGACATTGGGGTAAGTTAAAAATGGTATTTAAAAAACATTTCAGCACGATGGGAAGTAACGGACGAGTCACCACCGAAGTGAGAAAGAAGCTCGCAATCCGAGGCGGATAATGAGAGTCTGCCAGTTCACTTGGACAAATATGATCCGAGCGCGGAAGTGTGATGGATCCAGTTGTCACGACCCACATCACAAGAATAATCGTAAATAACAAGAGTAAGATATTTGGGTTGAGTGCAAATAGAATGTAAAGAGAATGGAAGCAAGACATAAGTGTCTTAGACTAATCAAAATTGAACGGGAATCAACAACTACAGCGTGGCCACGAAGTCCCTGGTCATTGCTCATAATTGATGTTTTTTGCAACACCATTTATTATTTAATATTTGCACATATATCATAACATTTATAGCATCTATGTGTGATAGTCCTACCTTTCTATTTTTAAGCATACATTCGAAAAATGACCGACGCAAGTCCCTACACCATTGAAGACAGATTCATAGTTACTGTTTGGGTACATGATCGAGTGCTAGAAATAAGAGCAATGACCGACGTTTCCACCAAATTCCAGGAGAGTCCCAAGAAGCCTGCATCAAAATATGACATTATTGGCATGAGAAAAGAAAAGATTTGCATCTGGATCTGTGCTAGATGCCCCTCGCTCTGGACGCCCTTCCTCCCGAATGAAGCACGAGGAAATCATTCAGCAGTCAGTTTTCAATTAACCAAAAAAATCGACTCTTAAGTGATTTGCTGAATTGCATATTCCTCGCTCCACACTCCAAAAGGTACTCAAAACTAACATAGGCATATCAGCATTCGGCCAATGCAGGTCAGTGAACTGTCTGATATTGATCGACAGAATCAAATGGAAGCGTGCCAAGACCTTCTCCAGGAATTTCCCACAAAAATCAGTCGTCACAATGTCTTCTTTAGTGATGAATGTGCTGTCTATCTCAGCTCACGATCACGAAATGTTTACATTTGGAGCAAGATTAACCCATACTATGCTGAAGAAATCGACCACAACCCACCGCACATCATGATGTGGGTGGCAATGTCAGCCTTTGGTCATTTTTTCGAAAACGCAGTGAATCAGTTCACCTACCGAGTAATGTTGGAGATCTGGTTCATTCCACAATAGGTTTCAACTGGAATCATGCATGTAGCCATTCTGCAGCAAGATGGTGCTCCTGCACATTTTGCTATCTCGGTGCGCCGGTTCCTGAATGAGAATTTCGCTGGCCGGTGGACTGGACGTGGATCACAGCATCAATGGTCAGCTCGCAGTCCTGACCTCTCATAATGCGACAAGGTCTTGTGGGGCATGATGAATGAAGACATCAGGAAAACACCTTACAACAACACAGAAAAAGTAAAACCTGCAATCTTTGCTTCATTGGACTCGATTTCCCCTGATGTTCTGTAACGCAGCTCAGCACACACTTGGAGACGCATTCGTCTGTGCTGAGAATGACGGTGAACACACAAACACCTTAGATCCATGACAGTGTGATCATAGGTTAGCAGATATTTGTTTCAATAAATTTCAGTGATCAGCGAAGAGCCCTTCTTTTCCCAGACGAGTATAATGTACAATTTTTTACATTTATACACTGATTTAGGTAGGTATGTGCATAAATGTGGTGTCCGGAGAATTCGTTGCCACCTTGTAGATGCAGGAGCGCCACTGACCGCGCGACTGTGCCATGTTTGAAACAGACTCCAACCCCTGGTATGGACCATCCCGGGTCCCCCATCCACGAAGAAGGCATAAACAAGCCTGACTAAGTCTCGCAATCTATCTCTTAGTGTCTTTATGCCACGTCATCGACTGGTCACCTCGCGGTGTCGCCCAGATTGGTGCAGCCACGGCGTGTAATGCACGCTGAGGGAG